TTTCTGGAGTCCCTCCTGCACTCCCCGCCGTCCCTCCCCAGACGCCTGTGCCTGTGCCGACATGTGCTGTCCCGGAGGCTCTTCCTGCAGCCCCGACCGTTGTGACCCAAAGCTTCAACACTGCTGCTGTTCTCCCAGCTGACGTCCCTGCAGCCACAGCCAAGCCTTGCCTGGAACGCCGACCAGCCTTTCTGATGGATCCCACGCAGAACCCTGCTCGGTCCCTCTCCACGTTGGGGCACTCGGGTAGCTTCAGGCAGGACAACAAGCTCTTCGATGATTTGTCTCCGCCCGGAGCAACGGCGGCCAAGGAGGCCAAGGACAATCCTGAGACAACACCTGAGTCGAGACCGGCCAGCAAGAGCAAGACCACGAAGCAGGTGGGACCAACCGCTGTCGATTTGTTTTGCATGGGTTGTATAGGGTTTAGACGTTGTATGTGTTGCTGCAATCATGCCTCCTGCAGGACCCAGATGCAGATGCCTTGCCCGTCCTCACTCCGGAAGCAAAGGCGAAGTACGCAAACTACTGGACAGGCTACTTCAAGAGATCCAAGTCCTCCCAGTCGGAGAGTGAGCTTTCCGTGCCACCGACCCCGACTTCGCTGGCTCCCGGCACGCCCGTGGGCATTGTGAGACAGGATTCGCAGGAGATGCTGGAGGGCCTCTTGCAGAAAGCCCGAGCAGACCCTGCTGTGCGTGCATTGCTGCTATCCACCTTGCAAGGCATGGATTCCTCTGCGCCTGCAGAGGCCGCATCGCCGAAACCAGCCTCCCTGATCAGCACCGCTCCTGAGCTTCCCTCGAAAGCAGCCACCCCGAGCCCGAGCGGCGCCGCTCCTGAGCTTGCGGGGCCTGCCGGTTCCGGTGGCATGCCGCAGGCTCCGCAGGCTGTGCCTTCCCCTGCTACCGCCGTGCTTCCGCCGATGCCAGGTTCGACTCCGACAGTGCCCGCTGCAAATGCTCAGAACTTCGCAGTTGCTGTGCCCGATGATTTCAAGTGCTCCAGCAAGACGCATCCCAATGCATGGGCAAAGTACAGTCGTTTCGTGCTGCGAAACGAAAACTGCAAGGAGCTGGCCAAGGCTTGGCAGAGCCTTGGCATGAATCAACCGACGCTGTTTCTGCATTCTTGTCACTGCAATAGACCCGATGGACTCCTCCTAAGGGCGGGTGGAGACCAGAGATTGGCGATGTTTCAGAAATGGGTCGCTTCCGGCGGCCGCGGCCTGGAGCTCGAAGCAGCCGTGCAGATGAAGGTCATTCGCGAGACGGAGGTTCATTTCTTTCGAACTTTAGAAACATGTGACATGTGGTTACATCTGCAAAATCATGGGATCGACATCTGATTTGCATGTTTGCTGCAGGAAGTCGACACAGGCGACTACGTGACCTGGGATGCCATCTTAAGCCACTTCGGCGGAGACATCAACAAAAGCATCGCCTTTGCCGAACGACGCAGGGGTGAGCACAAGGGGACCGGTGTGCGCAGATTATGTCATTCACATGCCTCGTTACAACCGAGCGATTGATGTGATGTTGCACAATTTGGCAGGACGAAGAGGGATCGCAATGATCCCTCCGTCGAGAAGTTTCTTCTCTGGAAGGATGCTACGGTGACGGAGAGACGCAAGACCATCGCCACTGGAATGCACGTATGTCTGTGTAATAAAAAAAGTTGGACATAATTTTTTATGTCGATTACTATCTGTTGCATTTTTTGTCTAATGATTTTGCTATTGTTTGGTCTTAGAAATGTTATGTTTTCAACGGTTTGTAGTGAACCGTCGGCATGATCTCGCAAAATCTTGGCTATATTTTTTATGTTGATGATTATCTGGCTTATATTCGTTTAGTGATTTCGATACTGTTTTTGTATTAGAAATGTGTGTGTGTATGTGTATTTCTGTGTGCCTTCTTCTAATCGACATAAAAATTTTTATCGAACTTTTTTAGATCGACATAAAAATTTATATCGAACTTTTTTAGTACAGGACATAAAAAATATTGTCCAACTTTTTTATTAGAGCTGAGGACGAGGTTTGCATCGATGTGGGCTGCAACGCGGCCGATGTGGAGCAGCTCTTGTCGGCCATGGACAATGACCCCATGTTCTACAAGAGACACGCACTGCCGGAGCGCAGTGCAGGGCCGGGCTCGCTGAATGTGAAGGAGGAGCAGATGAATGCTGATGATGGCAAGACTTCCGGGAAAACTCACAAGATCAACCCGAAGGCCACCCCGAAGGTGAAAGCCAAGGCGAAGGCCAAGAGCAGGTTTCAGAAGGACCGGGCAGCATTCATGTTTTCCTGGCTCCTTCTCCCGCATTCGGCTCGTTACGTTTCACATCGCAGGAGATCTACACGGAGATGCCTGACAATTGCTCGTCTGAGCATATCAAGGATTTTGTGTCTCAGTGGATGGCAGCTGTCAGTGACAGCCAGGGCCAGGCTGCGACACTTTGTTCCGAGTTTCTCGATGCATTCGTGAAAAGCAGTTTTGCCTGAAACAAACAGGGTTGTCAGGGTTGGTTGGACACATCTGAGGCTGCAGGACTTGGAGAGCCAAGGGCAGCTCATTGGCTTGATCGAGGCGGCCAAGCTTGGTTTGGCGGAGTGCCGCAAGGAGATGGGTGCCATCAACTTGGACGACGTGGATGCCTGGACCAGGGTTTCCCACATGTGCGAGAAGACCAAGCCGTTCGTCGTCAGCTACAAGAAGCACACCAGAACGGCGCAAAGCTTGTGCCTTGCTCGCACTGTTTCCCTGCTTAACCATGCATACATTCGGAGCGCAGTGCCTTCTTCTAATCGACATAAAAATTTTTATCGAACTTTTTTAGATCGACATAAAAATTTATATCGAACTTTTTTAGTACACGACATAAAAAATATTGTCCAACTTTTTTATTACACAATCTGCGTCCCTTGGAGGATTTCCTCTGCCAAAAGGGAGGCTGCTGGGCCTGCCAAGAAGAAAGCCAAGACTGAGAAGACCGAGGATGAGACTTAGCTTCCTTTTTGTGCTTCGCGATTCCGAAGGCTCCCTGGAAACCAGAATGCTATGTGTCCTTTATATGAATATACATATATACATATGTATGTACATATATAGGGACACCCAACATATATGCATGTAGCAATGGCTCTGGATGAACAGGGAGCCTATGCTGTGATCGACGGCTGCAGCTTTCCTCTGACTTGAGTTTCAGTGCTGCACAAAATTCGTCCATGTGTGGTCGAGAGAGGATGGCCTTGCTTCTGACAAGGAACTTCTTTGTGTGCATGTTTATCTTCTGCAGCTGCGTGCCCATGGAGGGCTTTAAATCTGTTGATGTGACCTACACCTGACCTACACCTACACCCCACACCTACACACCTACACACCTACACACCTTACACCTACACCCGCACCTGCACCCGACACCCACACCCACACCTACACCTAC